CGTTGTAACCATGGTAATTATCTATCGGATAAATTTATCAAGAGGTGGTAAAAGTGGGCTTAAGGCTCACTTTAGTAGTACTTTAGGTAGTAATGGACCTTAGTGAAGCATCATTACTTAAAAGTTCTGTATAAAACTACGTTTAAAACACGGCTCTGGATTCTAATTGATATTTGCTATAATTTCTCTTAATTTTAATTAAAAATTTCGTTCAAATAACATTAAATATTTTTCAATTTTTTTTATTATTCAATTTTTTATCGAATCATTTTTTTTAGATTAACAATAAACAATCAACCAAAAAAATCCAACAAACAACTTTCACCTTGTTTTTAGAATGAGAGATGAATGGGGAAGCAAAACTACACACACACACACACACACACACATAGAGACACAGAAAACAGAGAGAACTCGTCGCGTTGGTGTGTGTGCGTCCGCGAATCTAGTGCGCGTGTATTGGTTGGTTGGAGTCCCCCTTCATAGCCCCCCTCGCATCCCCCATCCACCATCGTCTCATTCCCTCTCACTCATTCTCCTTGAATGTAAACGGTTCATTCATAATGGTCGGCTTCCATTCATAAAAAGCGAAGTCGTCGTCGTTCGGATGAGGTCGCGGTCTTTCGGTGACGTTACCCCCCTCTCATGACCCCGCGGGCCCCCTTCCTCATCGTCGAACGTTCTCGTTGCGTCAGTTTGCCCCGAGACCTCGTCGTGACGCCGTTTTGGTGTGTATTTAGTTTTTTTTTTAATGCTCAATACAAAACTAATAAGAACGGATTTTTTGAGTTAGTGCAAAAAAAGGGAAATTATTAATAGTTATTTAAAGTTTTATTTTGTTTATGTGGTCTAATTTTAAATGGAGAAGTGTCGGGGGTTTTTCAATGGGGGTTTGTGTAGTGATTTTGGGTGCTTTTGCAAAGGGATTTGTTTAAAGTGTAATAAAAAGTGAGTTTATATGAAATTTTATTGTAAATTTTGAGATTTTATAAAACTTTTATTCTCGTTTTTCCCTTTTTTTTTAAACTAATATTTGGTGTTGAAGGAATTGGTTTTATTTAAAGTTTAATCAAAATTTGCAAAATAATTTTTTGAAAATTATTTATATTATAACTGTTCTTTAACTTAAGGTTTTTGGAAAATTAATTTATTTTTTTGATCTTTATATATTTTGAGATATTTTTGCAAAAACCCATTTAATAATTTAAAGAATTTTAAGAAATATTTTTTTAATTTTAAGAAAGAGTAATTCGTTCTCTTTAAGTTGAACACAATTTATTTTTGTATTTTTATTCCCTGGGGTGTTTCTTCACACCGGATACATTCCTGGTAAGCCAGGTGTCAGGCACACCTATGAGGTAGCGTGGGTAGCGCATCTACCCACAAAACTACCAATACACCAACATGTGTTAGGGGGAACTGCATATGTATGAGGCGTAGTAGAGAGACAAGTCGATTTCTTCGCCCACCAAATTTTAAAAAGCTACCGATTTCTTTTTCTTCAGATCCGTTTTTTTTTTTTTTCGTTTCGTTTCATTTCATTTACCCCCACACGTTGATTCCACGCACGCTTCTTCGAATCGATTCTATTTCAACAGAAACCGTTCTCTTTCTTTCTCACTTAACATTTCTTTTTATTTTATTTTTTTGTTTTAAAGAAAAACGATGAGTTCATGCGGTTTTGATGTTCTATACGTTTTAAAACAGGAAGTGGTTTTAATTTCTTATCTGTGTGGTCAATTTCTTTTTAAAGAATATGAAATCTAATACGTAGTTTTTTATTTAAACATGAATTTATTTTAATTTATCAGAAATGAAAAAAATTTGTTTTTATTTTGTTTCTTCTCATCTTTCATTTTTGATACCGGATACATTTATAAATATTTTCTTTTTTCGACGAAGAGCTAAACTTTTATTCACGATCTAGAGCTAAAATATTGTTCTTAATACTACACACCATTAATCTTCACCGGGAATTTCATAATTCGCAAGATATGAATGCAGTAACCATAATTACGAAACTACTATGCACTTGCACTGTCCCACATAAAATACAACATACTTTAATAGTACAGGCATTGGGTAGTTTTGCAGGAATAGATTTGGAATTTTTCTGGTTTTCGAATGTTTTTGGTTCTAGGTCTAGTATTAGTTCTACTTTTCGTTCATTAAAAATATACCACAATCTAACGCTGAATAACAATTATAACTAGAACTAACACTAGAACTGCAATCATTCTCGTTTAGCCGTCTTAAGAGACGTGCGGCTAAACCCGAATGATTCTAGTTCTAGGTCATGTGTTACTTCTAGTGATAGTGCTAGTGTAAAACTGGAACTAACACTAGACCTACAACTAGAAACATTCGGGTTTAGCCGCACGTCTTTCAAGACGGTTAAACCCGAATGATTCTAGTTCTAGGTCTTATATTACTTTTAGTGTTAGTGCTAGTATTAAATTAGAACTAGCACTAGACTTAGGTCCACTTTTACCATCCTCCTGATAAACTATCTAAGAGATAATTACCATGGTTACAGCAGTTTTAAGTGCTCTCATTGGCTAAGAACGCCAATTTATCTATCGGATAAATTTATCAAGAGGTGGTAAAAGTGGGCATAGAACTAGAAACATTCGGGTTTAGCCACACGTCTCTCAAGACGGCTAAACCCGAATGATTCTAATTCAAGGTCTTGTGTTAGTTCTGGTTTTAGTTCAATAAAAATATGCATCATAATGATATCCTATATAATAACTAGCGCTACCTACTACTGTCACTAGAACTAACATTAGACCTAGAACTAGAAACATTTTATGTGGGACAAAGTAAGTAGGTACGCCCTGGTTTCTTTGTAAATATATTTATGTATATTGCATTTTAAGTGAAATTCACTGTATAATCTAATAATAATAGTTACTATGAGGAAAAATGTTCGTTTAATGATCGGATTATTTCATTAATCTTTCTGGATTATCTATTACAAATTATGGTAATAAATAATATATCTAACCGGATATCGTTAGAACTTAACCTTACATTTTCAGTAAAATTTTTTTGTTTAACTTGGCATTAAATTTCTTTTTAATCAAAATGTTTTCACTACTTTTAGTTACATGATAAAGTTGTTAAAAGTGTAATAATCATGTCGAACTAGTTCAAAGCTACAAAAGATTCATTCAATCATAGCTGGACTTCTTCCTTTAAAACTAATACATTAGACATTCAAAACAACCAAGCCTATATCCTACCGATTATTTTTTAATTAACTTTTTTGATCTTTATAGACTTATCCAAAATTACATAACTACGTAATTTATACCCATATTAGATTCCCAAAGCTCTAGAACTGCAGATTAAATTTCTTTAATTCGATTAAGTAATGATTTTAGGATTCTAATTTATCTATTTATTATATAAGTTATTCTGACATAAACAATATAAACTTCATTTCCCCCCCTATAATACGAAAATAAGCGGGAAATATACCATTTCGTAAAGTTCCCTCAATGACATTTAAATTGTTGCGTGATTAGCTAGCTGGGTGTGGCTTATCTTTTTTGCCTTATTCATTTGAGTAAACGACTTTCAATAATTTGGGATAAAAGTATTCGGTTATGAAGTTGGATTATAGATTGTAGTCTTAGATTTAAAAATGAACAAGTATGAGATTGCGCGGAATTAAATAAGACTTACGAAGTATTCAAAAACTTCCTGAATGGAATGAAATGCTTTTTCCAACATCATAATCAGCCTTTCGAGTAAACATCGCCTCTTCCACGAATCCCATATGAATGCGCATTAGAGTACATCTGCAGTGATTCTTAATTATTCAACATATACGCTATGCAGTGTGGGATGTGTCTCGTTGTCTGTGTTATGTTCCCAGGCTTTGCTAAAGATTTGTTGGGAGAAAAATTGGGAGCAAGTTGTATGCCGTAAAGAGAAAAGTTTGGTATTTGCTCTTCATATTGTATTATTTATCAATGCTTGTATATCGTCGCTGCCAAGCCAAAACGGCGTAAGCGATATTTATTTGATTTTTCAGGAAACAAAAAAACTATCATTATGCCGTATTATAATAGGCATTTGCTCAAACTTTAAACCAATATTGTAGTACTTTGAAATTTGTTTGCAGTTATGTCGCTTTAATTGTTGGATGTAGATTTAAAAATCTTGTTCAACGGTGTAGAGGATTAAAAGGTGATCATTTTGGCTAGGCAGCGTCTAAGGAAATGTTATTACTACGAATGGTTTATTTTTTTTTGGGCCAGTGGCTCTATTTGTATTCCTGTTTTCGAGTCCTTGCCTTCTCATCCATACTCCAATGCCGACTCGGATCCCAATTGATTGTGGATGTACTTTTTCTTGACTGATTTAATCTTTATGCCCACTTCTTAATTTTTTAGCTATTGGTACGCTTTCTATTCACCTTAAAATTTTCTTGCACTCTCTCAATCTGCCCGTTTACATGTTCCCTATTCGGATTTTCCTTGATCCTCGTGACATATCGTGTAAAATGGCAAAATGTTTGCTTTACACAAAAGTTCTTGTACTCATAAGTAGTATCAGACCTAAGCCTTATCGAACCATTTTAAACGAATAGTACTACTTTCAAGGCAGTTGTCTTGCTCATTATCAACATTGTCTTCCTGAACATTACCAACATCTGGCATTATACAACAATATAGTTGTTGTAACTAACATTATTGTTTAAATGGTGATAAGCAATATGTAATAGCAGATTTATGACACATACCGCTTAGAAAGTGTTGATTAGCATAAACTGACATACAATTTTTTATGCATCTCATTTATTGTATTTACTTATTCAATACAAAGATGTGGTTGTGGCCACATTGCACAATCAAAATTAATCTTTCTCGTTGATTTCTTCTTTTTGCTCAGTAATTTTTGATGTTATTCTTCTGGGTAGAGTTAAATATTTGTTGCATAACTTTTTATTCTTTGTGTTATTTTGTTATTAATAATTTGTTTGTTTTTAGGTGGCGACGATGACGGACCTCGGTGAACAACCCTGGTTCGGCCGTTAGAGTTACGGCCACATGGCACACCATGGAGGGCCAGAGACGTTGCCACGCGCTCATCGCGCGCGGGCGCCGGCCGTGAGCGTCGCGACGCCCGCGACGACGACGACGACGACCCCCTTGGCCCCGTTCCAACAGCAACAGCGCCCCAATCAAGTTGGAGGAGGGCCGACGACGACCGTAGTCACCCTGCAAACGCCTCGACCAGAATCTGATCGAAAGGGAAACGAATATGTCGACAACCCTTTACCGTTCTTACCGGCAACACACCACCAACATCAAACCAATCAAAATTTCCACCACCACCAGCTCCATCAAAATCATCAGATCCAGCAGCAGAATAACAATTCGAGACGTCCGCCCCATTTGCATCTATCGGACGCGACATCAAGGAGGCCACCTCCGCCGCCGGTGCCAACGATTTCAAAACAACCGACGAGGTCTTTTAGGAAAGAAGTCGTTGGGCAGTCGGAACTTCATCTTCAGCAACATCAGCAGCAGCAACAACAACAGCCGGTATGCGCGTCGCGACGTTCGATTATGTGCGATGAGTGCGGAAGGTGCAGGTGTTTCGATTGCCAACAACCACCCCGTTTACCGATTTGCTGGTTGTGCAACAATCACTGTTTGTGTTCCGCGGACGCAGCAGTCGACTACGCGTCGTGCTTATGTTGCGTTAAGGGTGTTTATTATCACTGTTCGGATTCGGACAGTGGAGGAGATTCAACGTGCGCGGACGATCCGTGCGGTTGCGGCCCTGAAAGAAGGGCGGCAAGATGGGGCTGTTTGGCGGTGCTTTCGGTCGTCTTACCGTGTCTATGGCTTTACTGGCCATTACAAGGGTGTAAAAGCGCGGTGGAAAACTGCTACTCAAGGTACACGAAGCAAGGGTGCAGGTGCAGGCCACCCCTTAACACACCGGAAAAGCGACTGCTCGATAGCAGCCCGGACTTTTAAAAAACCGCTACCACCAAATCTACTACTATTACAACAACAAGAACAATCCCCCGCCCCCCAATAACGTTATTATTATTATTATTTTATTTTATTATTTTATAATTACCACCGACACCAACGTTTTTATTATTTTTTTTTTGTTTCGCTATTTATTTCCCCCGAGACTTTGTAAATAGGACTACGACGACGACGACGACAACAACGTTTAAAACGATGACTTCGACGATTTTAAAGACGAAAGAGTGTAAAGGAGACGATGTGTATATTCCGCGGTTTAGTGGGCTGCGATTCGTCGCGACGCCGAAGGAACGGTGAAGGACGCTGTGTTATTTTTATTTAATCGGTCGGCTGCGACGGAAGCCCTGCAGTATTATCTAGTCCTCAGTACCAGAATTTTCCTTTTGACTTATCTACTTTTATTTCAACAATTTAAATAAGAATAAAGAATGAAGTTTTTTAAAACGTTATAAACAACTTTGTTATGTTTATACATGATGATAGAGAAAATGTATTTTTTGAAAAATGTACAAGTTTTAGTATCAAATTTCATTATAAAACAAGTTTGTGATAATTATTTTGATTCAACATCCTGGGACACTAGTAGAGTAATAAATAAGGGAAGCACTCAATCATATAGTTATCGTTTATCAAGTTAATCGAGCTTTAACATTGATCGGTTAAGCCACTGTTAGCGATCTGTCAAGTTAACTTTACTCAAGTAGTTTAGTAATCAAGATAGAACTACTTAAACATAGAGGTTTAGTGCAATTTGATGGAAATGAACTTTATAGAAAAATAGAGCATATGATTCTTTGTTGGAAATAAGGTTAATTTATATATACATAAGTATACACATTCACATTCAAAAGTAGCAAAAAGATCTTGATTTAATTTTTTTTAAATAACTATATGTTGTATAATTTGATTGCCATAAATTTTTATTAAGAACTTTTCACTAAGAGTGATGATCATTATTGAAAAAAATGCAAGAAAAATGTATACAAAAAGAACATAAACACAGAAAATCATCATGCCACTAGTTTAACACGCATCACATCAAAACCAGAGGGAAATTATGAAGCAGATTAAAAGATAATTCTTCAGGAACTATAATAATGTGGGCAATAAATTCTTTAACAGTTTCCAGAAGGATATTTTGGTTTTGATAAATCTTGCTATAATTTAGCCAATTAATGAAGTACACCATGTTTGAACATTTTCCATCACACCTTTGTGCTCCTAGACGCGAGAGTACATCGCAAATTGAACGTCAGCAGGTTATTCAATACGTTGTTGTCATTTGCCTTTCTTTATTTTGGAAATATTAACAACATAAGCCTTTATACTACTCCAGCAATCAATAATGATAGGTTTCTTTCTCATCATTTGCTTTTCATTACCTTGGCCTGGCAAAAATTACATTTTAAATCTAATGTTTCAAAATCAGGTTTTCTCTTTGTAGTCATCAAGTAATAACAATCAACAAAGGCTTTTTTTTATTACTGCAGCAATGAATAAAGATTGCTTTCTTTGCCACCACAGAATTTTTGTCCATTTTGACAATACTCAAACTTTTTTATATTTAAGCATAAATTGATTTCGTTATCTAAGCAAATTCTGCAACAATTCTGCTGTCAATTTCTGTCTTAATAAGTTACACTCCGGATTTCAAAGATCCAGAGAGAAAGACTCCAGATTTTCCAAAATAAACAAATTCCATTTCTCGAATTGGTACTAAAGCATCATTTCGAAATCTTTCAACTCTTGTAGCTTTATCATTGAACCTAAGATAGTCTAAAAGAAACATGAATCAATGATGCCGATAATATTTTTGAAAAGATGTTTTGCAGTAAATTGCCTTTCATTTTAAAAAAACAGAAATAACTTTGTTGCTGTTATCGGATTTGCAATTACTTTGTGCATGCCTTCAAATTTCTGCAACAGCTCTTATTATTCTAGCTTTCCACCTAAATATTATTTTTATGCACTTCAATCCTACCCAACCTAATATCTCTATGTAATGAGAAGGGTTTATGTGCATAATATGTAACAGTTGTGTTAATTTCAAGTATCACGACAAACGCCATCTGCGGAACATAAATATCGAATGAAGATTCGTTTCATTTTTGGGCATCTGTGAAGATCTTTCCCAGTTTATTCCAGTTTATGGCACTTCTCTAACGACTATGTTTATCATAAAATGAGATGTTTCACGATGAGGCTAATTTTTAGCAACTACAAATGTACTCTCAAAACCGGTTTCGGGTTATCCACCCATCATCAGGCTATTTAAACATTAAAGTATACCTTGAAAGAAGTTTCCGATATACTCAATAAGTATTGTAGTGTTAAACCTCAATTTTCTTTCAAGGTTGATGACAACAATAATAAAATTGATGAACATTTTTCAAAATTTTTGAAACGAAATAAAATTGACCTGCATTTTCAACAAAGAATAAAGTTTTGAATATTAGATTGAACTCCTAGTTTGTAAACAATTTCGAACTAATTTGCTTTTTTTAGATTCCAATGGAGATATTAACCTTGGGAGTCTATCTAGATTTAACTCAACTACTTAGAGTAGTTGAAAACAGATTTATTTGAAATTGAGAGAATAATTTTAATCAATCATTTCTGTTATTATAGTTTTAATCATTCATTTTCAAACAGATCTAATTTTACCTGCTTCCTTTTAAAATATTTATTGCTCATTTAATTCATTAATAGATTTAAACTGAAAAATATTTTTCTCAATCTGTTATAACTCAATAGTCGTTCTCTGAGAGGGGTCAGGGATATACTAATTTTCTCTAACATCATGTATAAACAATGAAATGAATTATAAATAAGTTGACCTCCAGAAAGTGAAAGAAAAATACGTGTTTTTAAAAACTTGATAAATCGAACATCAAAAATATCGAAACCTTAAAATAAATTTATTGTTTCTTCATTTATTGTTGTTAAAAAATTTATAATTATGTAATTATTGATAAAATATTAAGCTTATAAGTAAAATTTCCTTACGAAATTTTATTATTTGGCCAACAGATACAACTTTCTACAATTACATTACGTAACAAGAAAACAAGTCACGTCTGTTAGATACATTAATAGTTTGTCTGGAGGCAAAAAACGAAACGTTAATACACTTCTTTTTTCAAACGAATTAAACCAAAAATCAAGTTTGATTTACAAAATATTAAAATTATAGTATTTAAGTCAAAAGGTAAAAAAGTGAACATTTTGTAAAAGTAAAGAATATATATATACGTATATATATATAATGTATAAGTAACAAGAAAGTCTGAAAGTGTTTTCTTTTTTTGTATATACGATTAAAAATTATATACATATTTTATGTAAAAAGGTGCATTTATATTGATGGAGTTTCGATGCAAAATTTTCGTTTCATTCTCAAAAAAATTTTAAAAAATTTAAATATAAACTATTAAAATAAATTAAAAACTCTAGTCGATTGTTATTATCAAATCTAAATAAAAATTAATGTAATATTAATGTAAATCAAAAATTTTCCTTCTCCTTTACTATAAACGCATCTTAAGAAATATTTTTTTGTATAAAAAAACGCGAAGATACCTTCCAAGTGCAACAACTAAAAAAAAATCAGAGATATGAAATCGTTTTTATTTAAAAATAGAAAAGAAAATAATGTGAAACGTATCAAGGTTATTTCCAAAAAAACTCCCTGCCTTGGTACGTTTCAAGAAACGTCTTCAAAATTTTCCATGTTAGATGCAAAAAAACCCAAACAACGCCCATTGTAAATTAAATTTAAAAATAAATGCGATTAAAAAATTAAAAAAAAATAAACGAAATACAACTAATAAATTTAATATATTGCATAATATGTATATCGGAAATCACGATTTTCACAAATAAATATTTAAAAAAATAAAAAACAAAAATCTTCACTATTTTTGTATTATATTCATTGTTACCACTTTTCCTTTTTTATTAATTTCCAAAAAAAAATCTACTCAAAAAGTTCGAAAGAATTAATAATAAAAACAAAAAGAAATAATTTAATACAACTTTTGAAGATGAGAAACCAGCTCAATAACAATAATAATAATAGTTTTAGTAATAATAAGCAAGATATAGAGCTTGTAATCATAAAAATATTATTTTGTAAAAGATTTTTGAACTATTGTGTGATTTAGCCAGTATTTAAAAAATCACATAGACTCAGCGATAATGTTTAGTACAATCAAGATATCATTTTTTTTGAGTTTATTGATTATCAGAGAAAATATTTCGGTTGCTGTTTGTTAGAGGTGATAATTGTTTAAAATCATTTAGTGATCCTCCCATCTTGGACTTTCTTTTTGTTGCCAAACGAATCTTCTTTGTGTTCAGAGCTAAGGTTGTGGGCAGAAAAATTAAGAAAGAGAAGAATTGCGTTATTAGGTGATATAAGACTTTATTAAAGCTATGTCACCAGGACAACACAAATTACAAACTTCAAAATCGATTATTTGATCGGTTATCTTGCCCAGTTAATAACCTTTCAAATTCCCAAAGGATTTAATTTGCGCCTCTACCATCGAGAATCAATTGTGATTAACCGTACGGCAGTGGCATAAAATATTTTTGACTTATTTCCTGTCGCTCCTGGTGAAGCATAGGGCAGCAGTATTTGCATTCCATTTGATCCGATTGACAGCGAGGAATTTCACTTCTCTCCACGTTTTCCCCGCTCTCATTACTTCTTCCTCAACAGTTTTCTTCTACATATGTCTTTCGGTGACACTCCGTCTTCGTGGTATTTGGGGGTTCCAGTCAAGCACTGACATCGCAACTGGTCCATGAGGCTTCCTTACGTGTGGCCAATCCAACGCCATTTCTACTCCTTGTTTGATCACTAATGGATTGTTGGCTTGTTTTCTCACTGAATACCATTTCTCCTTCCTTCTGTAACCTTTCTCATCACTCTATGATATACCAGGAGGAGCAGTAAGGGTGACAGAATACACCCTTGTCTCACCCCAGAATTTGCCTGGAGAGAATCGGTAAGTTTTCCATTATACACCAGATGACACTCTGACCCTACATACATCTCCCTGATGACACTAATGATCTTGAGAGTGATTCTTCTGTTTAATGAAGTCTGTTCAAAGAATTCAAAGTCGATGAAAACCAAGTAGATACTCTGCCATTCTGTGCTTTATTCAATAATTATGCGGAGTTTGTTAATAAGATCAACACAACTTTGTTGCTTATGGAATCCTGTTTGCTCGTTCCTCAAACATTTTTCCATGGAGTCCTTAATCCGATTTAGGATTATCTTCGAAAGTACTTCACTTGGCACTGACAAAAGAGTGATGCCTCTCCTGTTTTTACGATTAGTGATGTCCTCTTTCTTAGGTAGTTTTACTATTAATCCACGTTTCCAGTCTCCTTTCAACTTTTCTTCTGTTCATATCTTCTCAAGTAACGGGTGTAATAATCCAACAGTAGTCTCAATGTCTCGTTTTAGTACTTCAGGTGCAATGTTGTATACACCTGTTGCATTTCCATTACTGATCTTCTTGAGGGTTGTTTTATATTTATTTTGTTGATGCCTTTATGCTAATGCCAGCATGACTGACTGCTCAGAATTTAGTTCCTTGGATTGCTCTCTCCCCTTCTTGGCCTGTGTTTAAAACCTTGAAGAAGTATTCTTTCCACCTCTTGAGCTGGTCTTCTTGTGTTGTCAATAGTCAACCATAATCATTCTATTGACAGTCTGAGCCCGGAGTGCGGCTTAGAAGACGGTGAAAAATCGTATATAGTTATTCCTTACGCTGTTTTCTTAAATAATCTTAGCACTCTTGTCAATGGCAAATACTTTCCCGAAAGACAGTGCAATACTTGCTCAAACAGCACGTATCTCGACCTGTGGTGTTTTTGAATTGTATGTAGACAGACACGTTGCTATTCTAAGGAGTCTTTGCTTTTAATTTACAGCATCAAATCAAATGTCATCGACAGAATCGGATCAGCCTAAATAAAGCTCTCAGTTTACCCGACATTCCACCAGAGGAACATAGCTTGTAGCTTCATAACCATCACATGCAATTTCTCTATGTGCAAATGCGGAGGGAATAAATAAGCTAGTACGTATTGTATTAGGAATTGTCTATTCAACAACATATAGGGTGAGTGAAAGGTTATTGATAATCATCGCTTTAATCACAGTCACATAAACCCAGTATAGTCGTCCTCTAAAGTTTACACCCCAATTTCTACTACAGAGGCTTCGATAAGTGTACAAAGATAGTTTTGCCTTCTAGAGGACTCTCAGTAGCATTAAGTATTAGTAAGCTCAATCAATTCAGTTCGTATATATTTTCAGTAACGGAATACTTGCAAAGCGCTATTAAAATAGTTAATATTACGGTTTTCATATTACATAATAATATTACATTTGAGAACTTTGAACGCAACAACCACCCGGTCAATACTTCAATAACTCATAACCTCTCTGGATACGTACCAATATAGTTAGAGACTTCGTAGTACGTTAAAAGCCCATCTTGGTAACATTATTCCCCATCATTCAAATTTTATGTAAGTGGGTAAATATTAGAAGCTGCAATCTATAGCGAAAATCTTGCGGTTTCTTGCACTGCTCGGTGTGTCTGTCACTCCTTCACACAACCTCCTCAAGAATTTCTTTTAGCCTTGTGATTGGTCACGTTATAATTTATACAACTTTATACCATACAAATAGGCTTTAACTATTTGTATGGTTCTCATTATCCCAATGTTTTAACTCTACAAAAAAGTCGTCGAATATGTTTTCTTTTGGAACTGTGATTCATTCCATCGAGTTGTGCTCCAATTCTTATTCTTCTCCTTTTAATAGATTGATCAAAAGTTGTGATTGATCAAAAGTTGTGATTGGCCAAAAGTGATGCCGCAAAGATTTGCTTCGTGACTTGGATGCGGCGAACAGAGTGCAAACTAAATCTGCTCGTACTGAGTTTGCATAAACTGAAATAATATCTGTTCGGCATATCTGCAAGAATCAATTTAAATTTTACTCCGTTCGCAGCTGCTTTATATAAAGGCTGTTCAACAAGTTTCCATTATAAGTAGTTCCAACTACAGTTTGGGGATTTCAATCAGGTTGTCTCCAAATTCACCAATCCCCTACCCTTGAGTAAATACACGCACATTGAGGTTGTTTATGCTGAGCAGCCACTTTTAGTAAGTTACCTTATAAAAGAGCTGTAATTACTTCAGTGTCGATCTTGGTTTAGGTCAGAAAGCTCGAACAGTGGGCGTAGCAAAGCAAGTTGGACTAGCCCATCTAGGATACTCTGTTACAGTTACAAAAAGAAACGATGAGAAAATAAGACAACGGGGAATGAACCTTTGAAAAGTTTTGGAACTTATAATACATTGATAAACAAAATAGTTTGTTATCTTTGTTAGCTATCTTATTACGAAGATAGTTTCAGAGACTTCTCTAAAATCTAAAACAAAGATTTAAAAGAAGTAACAGTTGCTGTAAAGAACACGTTCTAAGAAACGCTTAAAATCTAGGAAATGTCTTGAAAATTTAGAATTAATATATATATAAGAAATTTTGGTATTTTTATAATTGGATTATTGAGAAACCTGGATTTATCCTTACCAAAACTTCTGATCAAACAGAAAATCCGATAAGTTCTAAAGAAAATTTTTAAGTTATACGAGCTTCATTGCAAAAGAAACATAAAGATAAATATTTAAATATAATTTTAATTTGAATCGCAAAAATGAGACATATTAAAGCATCGATTGAAGACTAAGAAAAGAATAAATTATGAATGAATATTATTTAAAACTATCAGAGTAAGCTAGACTTTCGTTGAAAGAAGACCAAGTATATTGTCTCGAAATATCATATCTCAACAATACCT